TTTTTTTTTTTTTTTTTTTGGTAGCTCAGACAGACCCTACGCCCTGGGCTATATAGAGAGTAGGAACTGAAGAAGAACTTATCAAATAAATGAATAAATTTTTGAGCCATCAGCAAGCCAAATATTATATGATTTCATTTACATGAAATGTCTAGAACAGGTAAATCCATAGAGACTGAAGGATTAGCGGTTGCCAGGGACTGGGGAAGAGGAGACTAAGTGGTGATTGCTAATAGGTACAGTGTTTCCTTTTGGGGTGGTGAAAAATGTTCTGGAACTTGGTAGTGGTTATGGTTGCTTAAAATTGTGAATGTGCTCAATGCCAATGAATTGTAATACTTTGAATTGGTGAGATTAATTTATGTTATGTGAGTTTTACCTCGATTATAAAAAACACAGCAGGCCAGATTGCAAACCACTAACCACCACTTATAATGTCCATTATCTATGTATTTCTCCTTTCCACACCTACACCCTGCCCCTGTCCCCAAGTACAGACTTCACTAAATAGCTATGTGCAAATTTATGATAGAGAACGGGACCATCTGCTCCCTTCCAATGTCACCTCAGTGCCACTATGGTCAGGCTTCACCAGATACTCATGAATATTGAGAAAGCAAGATATCCAGAACCCAGCACAGCCATCTGCAAATGATGCTCAGTGAACTGCACTTGTTTCTCTGTTGCATTCGTACCTATGTAGGTTATTTTGAGAGATGATTATACACAGTGATTTTTGTGGTCACCAAATCAGAGCCTCATCAAGAGCTAAGCACAGAATGGTTCCTCCCCCTCCACCAAATTGGTCCCTCTGGGACCCTGCTCAGCTGCACTGAGGCTGCTCACGGAAGCAAAACCCCCAGAAGGTGGACTGAATGTGGCCTCAGCAGATGGAGATGAAAAGTGGGGAGGCCTGAGAACTGGAAAATTCAGAGAGTTGGGCTAAGAAGAGTCTACAAGGAGAGGGAAGCTGGCCCCACCGTCAGTTATTTAGCAAGTGATCCATTCTATCAAGTGATCTTTTCCCTCCCAGAAAAGCTTAGATCCAGAAGATAGGCTCCAGGGGCTTCATTCCCATGAATTTGCCCCTATCCTAAAGACAGTCATCTTCTATTTATTTTTAGCACCCCACTGTCAGATGTTTTCAGAAAGCACCTCCTCCTTACAACCCCTGCTTTTTTGTGCACTTAATTACACTCCCCATGACAAGTGTTTGAAAAATCCTGAGACAATTAAGTGCAAGAGAAACACTCCTGCCAGGATGCTGAGTTGAGTGCCCCTTCAAGTAGTCCTCCTCCAGCCAAGAGGCAGCTCTAGCCTGTAAGACCCGGAGGCCCCGGCTAGTTCAAGGGGCATGTTAAACATAAAACAAACGAAAAATACCTTGTGAGCTCTTCTTTAATCTTCAGGGGTTCATGTGGGTAGAATTTCACTCTAAAGCACATGGTGTATGGTGGATGAGCTGAAACATCATAAAAAAAAAAAAAAAAAAGGCATGAGAAAAGCAGCAAAACACCAGGGACTCGAACACACACAGGAAAGTCAGCCGTGGAGCCCCACAGCCTAGCCTGGGGTGGGGATGGGAAAGAGGGTGAAGCAGGTGTTATACCCAAGAAAACAAAGCCACAATGACAACAAAACTCAAAACTCTTGACAGGACGCCCAAACCAAAGGCAGGCAGGCGGGACACAGGCAACCTAGTCCAGCAGCGCATCTTTCCACGTCACAGTGCCCCTTCCCTCCTTCGTTCTCTCTGGGTCATAGCTTCAAATATTTTCTCTTCCTATTCTTTCCACCCCCTGTGGCAAATTTCCCATAAGCACCATTCAGGTTTTTGGTCTAGTAAAATATTCTTTAGCCCGTGAGGTGGAAAGATGTCTCTGCACATGACTAGTTTTCCCAAAGTGATGATGCCTGTCTGGCTGAATCAAACTTGAGGCAGATGTCAAGAAGAACAGGTGGCCCTGCCATCACATTCATCCCATCCGAACACTGCCCTGGAGGGTCCATAGTCTGAATTACTATGGTAATTTCCACTTTGAAAACCACTGGTCCTACATCTCAACTTCTGCCCTTCAGCATCTAGAATAAATTCAAGGACTCTAGAGTTAGTTAGAGTAGCTACTTCTAGAGAAAGTTTCCATTAATTCAATGAACAGAAAGTCTTTGAGCACCCACTGGGTACCAGGCACAGGTTTAGATGTATGAATAATGGCAGCTGTAAACAGACAAAAAAATCTGTCTTCATGGAGAACACATTCTGATGGGATATACAAGCATGAAATCAAAATAAATAAGTAAAATATATGGGACATTCAAAGGTCATTAGTGCTATGAAGGGGAGTAAAGCAGAAAGAATTTTAGGCATGAGAAAAGACCACCCCCCACCTCTGTTCCCTTTTCTCATCCCAACTATAACCAAATCCATGAAAATAAATACAATTCTCTTTTCTACCTTCTAGAAAACCAAACAAGGAGAGAAATTCAATTATTTACAATTTTAAATCATTAAACAAGAGGATGGGGGAAACGTCACCCCTAAGTGTGTTGGCACTGGTTTGGGGTGAAATGCCCAGCTTTCGAGCACTGGCATGCACCATGCCAGCTGGGTCACTGCTGCAGAAGGAGACTTCCCAGGCTCAACAGCTAACATTCAGTCCTGGAACATGTCAAGGTCAGAATCCCTAGTGGAGATGAGCCTGTCCTCTTCTCCAAATAGTTAAGTATCTTCCACGTCTTCTTATCCTTACGCTACAGAGAAAGAGGAAGGAAGGATGACTCTTATCTGTGCCAAACATATGACGCAGAATCAGTGGCTGGAAAGGTCTAATGAAGGACCTATCTGTGGAGCAGGAGGTATCTTCATGAGCAGCCACTGTGCGTCTTTACTAGACAATGCGGTCACCCCATGGGGAAGACACTGTAGAGCATCCCTACTGTGGTCCTGAAGCCTCAGCCGCAGAGACAGAGGCACATGGGCCAATGGCATCCCCACCACCAGGGGGTGAGTTCCTAAACTTTGAAGGGGACTTCCAACAGTGTCCTTGAACAAACCACCTAACTTTTCTGTCTCCTACTCTGGAAGAGGGGACAGCACCAGGGGCCATGTCTACTTCTCAGAGGTGTTTGGATAGATTCAATGGGCTCCTGGCACAGACACTGGGCACATTACCTAAATATGAGCTTTTGTTTTGTGGGGATAAACGCTCAGACCTGAAGAAGAGAAGGAAAGGGGGAGTGGAAATGGGAAGGCAGAGATGGAGAAGATGGAATTAAATTCAACAACTCAACAGCTGAAAAACATTTTACTCAGCCATGTAAATGCTAAGAATTAGAATACCACTGGGTAGCAGAGAAGGGAAAAATCCACTTTAAAAATGCCAGGAGCATATAATTGCCCAGAAAACGGCAGGGCTCCTCTCTCACAGCCCTCTGTTATCTGCCAGACAGGGCTGTGGTGGCCAAGTGTCTCCATGGGGCAGCTCAGTGGCCCCTTTTTGCATCAGCAGATCCTGGGGTATAATCATCTGGGTAGTTTGTTAACAGTGAGAACATGGGGAGAAGAACAGGCATTTCTCATCTGCACTTTGAGACCATGCCCAGAAATGGGGATGGGGACACCAAAGGATTAGGTGAGTGCGCTCCCAAGTAAAAATGGAAAAACAAACCAACTTTCTATTATTAACCAACAGCCATCCTCAAATCTTTGTAGAAGCAAATAGGATATTTTTTTATGAGTGGAACATCACTTAGCAGCTTTTCTTAAAATGCAGAGGTCTTCCTCCAATCATTATAAATAACTACAGGAAAAAAAAAACAATTTCAGGAAAGGACATATAAAATCATAATCTCTCCCATATACATTCTGGCTGACAGCTATGAAAAATTTCCCCAAACTCCTTTAAACAGTAATCAAACATAGAGCCTGTGGCTCCAGCAGATGTTAGGGCAATTCCTATACCTGGAATATCTCTCTCTTGGGCCTCCCTCCTCTGGAACTCTATTGAAAAAAAAAAGTGTGACCAAGCTGTCAGACTTTCAGACTCTGCAGAAATATTGCAAAGGGTCTGGTATTGCAGAAAGGACCACGAACATCCTGCAAATAATAGGCTCATTTTCCAAAGGAGCCCAAGTAGGCATCAGGGACTCCTGGCTTTTCAGTGCAACTGACGCCTTTGGATTCCTAACCAAATGAACAGTGTCCCTCTCGTTTCTTTCCGGGGTGCTTTAGAGTGAGAGCTGAGGAACCCACCACTGCTTCTTCATTGATGAAACCACTCAGGCATGCAAAGTCTTTCTGCACATGCGCAAAATGACACTTGGACACCAAAAGGACAGAGCATTCCTCTCTCATTCAACAAACTCTAACTCTTGGGATATGTTCAAACAAACCAGCCACAGAGAACTGCTCTCGTAAGCACAGCTCTCCTAGTTGGAAGTAATTATCATCATTCAGCAACAACTGCCACTATCATCAGCATCAACAGCAGTGTAACCCCCATCACTCTTTTACTGAATGACAACCAGCAGCCTCCAAAATGCTGCTGGCACCGTGTTGCCTTTACTTTCAAGGCAGAGATGGTTTTTAAAAACTGTATTTAATTCACCCTCCTCCTGTTATAGTTCTGTCTTATGCTTCGATCACACACGCGGGCACACCACCCACTCACACTTGCCTGCGCTGAGTAGAGTCACCCTCTAAGAGCTCTCTTAGGGGACACTGGAGGGCTGAGCAGCTGCCTCACAAATTCTTGTTCTTGGAGTTCTCTGCCTGCCTGTGCTGCTCAGGAAAAGCTCTAACAGCGACTCTGGTATCCAACATGTCTAATCTCAACTTCACCATTTGGGACAAATTGCAATGGCCAAACTGAAACTCTCAGTTTCCATTTCCTCACTTGTAAAATGAGGGTAATAATGGAACCAATGACCCAGAGTAGGGGTCAGCAAAATTTCTCTGTAAGGGGCAAAGGAGTAAATATTTTCTACTCTGAGGGCCTCAAGGTCTCTCTTTCAATAACTCCACTCAGCTGTTGTAGTGGGAAAGCAACCACAGACAAGATGTAAACAAACAGGCATGGCTTGTTCCAATAAAACACTGGAATCTGAACTTCATATAACCTTCATATGTCACAAAACATTGTTCTTTGCTTTTTTCCCCAACCATTTAAAAATATGAAACCTATTCCTAGCCTTCAGGCCATAGCAAACCAGATGGTAGGTGGGTTAGGTCCAGGGGACATAGGTTAGTTTCTGACCCCTAATACAGAGACCAGGAAGGGATGACATAAGCTAACGATATAAAGCATTCAGCAGACTACCTGAGACCTAAGTTCTCAATCTACAGGAGTTATACACCTGAGAATTTAAGCCAAAAAAATTTAGCAAAAATACAAGAAATTGGGGGAAAGGAAGATGGTGGCAGAGTAGATGGAAGTTACACTCACCTCCTCCCAGCCCCAAACTGGAATTATAACTAAATTAAAGATCAACCAGCATAACCAACTGAAGACCAGCTGAACAGAATTCTTACAACCAAAGATTTACAGAAGAAGCCACATAGAGATTAGTAGGAAGGGCAGAGATGCAAAAAAGGCTGGCCCCGCACCCACATGCTGCAGCTGAGATTCCAGAGAGATTTCTCAGCTGCAGAGGTCCTCCCGTAAGGAACATAGGGTCTCAGCCCCACGCCAGACTCCCTAGCCCAGAGCAAAAGAGCTGCCCACATAAAACCTGGCTGTAAAAATTGGCAAGGATTCTGTACACCATGGAGAGATTGGGTTGTAGAAAGCAAGGTCCAGCACACAAAATTTCCTTTGCAGTCACTCACCCTGGGCTCTGTCAGAGGGATGGCAGCTTGGAGCTTACTAGAGTCTTAAGAGGACAGATTGGGCTGTGTAGCTCTGGGTAGACTGAGTTCCTCTCTGGCATCACTCACAGACACCATCTTTCTTGGGGGAAACAGTCCTCTCCAATCTGCATGGGTATAGGGGGACTGTACAACCCCACCCTCCCAACCTCCCTATAGCCCTGCCAGAGCTCAAATCATGACAAGGAGTCTTCTGCCTGAGCTTGTGATATAGACTCTCTAGAAAGGATCTTGAGGGCAAGCTCAAGGAAAATCAGAATCAGAGTGGTGTGGCTCTGGGTTAGAGACCATTTCCCTTCCCTGCCCACCCAGTCCACCACCTAAGAACAAAAGATACACACAGACTGAAAGTAAAGGGATGGAAAAAGATATAACATGCAATGGAAATGGAAAAAAAAAAAAAATATATATATATATATATATAGGTGGGGTAGCAGTACTTATAGCAGACAAAATACACTTTACAAACATTTTAAAAGTATTTTTTATTGATCAATTTTAGAGAGAGAGAGGAAGGGAGGAAGGGAGGGAGGAAGAGAGAAAGATCTATTTGTTGTTCCACTTATTTATGCATTCACTGGTTGATTCTTGTATGT